TCCAACCACCAGAATAAGCTCAGAAACCATGAAAATGCGTTTTGGATTTCAGATTTTAAATCTGGGTAAAGTTTTATCCAGGAGTATTCTAACAAGGGAGATAACCTATATATTTGCTACCATTTATCATTTTAATTTGTTTTCTCCTATTTTTTTATTTTTTTAAATGCAACGGAAAATACAGTCTGTTCCATATGTGCATATGTTTATAAACATGTAAAATTGATACTTATTGAAAACAATTAAATTTCCGTTGAAATGAAATAAGATGTTGAACAATCTGTAATCTGGTTTCAGGTGAAAGTTGGTATGTATGACAGAAATGGGAAGGAGATTGTAAACATTGTGTTCAATAACAGTTGGTCAGACAGCATGACCTCTTGGTTTACTGCCGATAACATCGTCCAGCAAGGTCAGCGCTACACCGACCTTTCTCCTCAGCTAATCACTAATTGTAGTGCTGAAGGGTAAGTCTTTGACATACAACTCATTTAAAGTATCCTGTCCCACTGTAGCTAAAACACTGTAGATACAGAACAACCGTGTTCATTTCATTTCAAAATATTTTATTAAATCAGTCTGCTTTAATGGGAATTTGGGGGCAACAAGCAAAGTCTATACATGCCCTTTCCCTGATCCTGTTTTACTGCCACCGTTTGTCCAGGGAAATTTTGGCGTCATAACGGGGTTTGGCGATAAATTGAGGTACAACTCCTTTAAACTACACCTCATTTAATGATCCCTGTCCCACTGTTGGTACAGAACAACCTTGACTCTATTCCTGTGATATTTCTACCGTATTTGACGTAATAAGCACACCAGACACTTGAATTTTTTTGCTGAAGGGGGCGCTTATTAAGGTAACAAACATAAGTTGCTACATTTGCTGGTATTGTGACATAACAGATGGGCATGTTTCTAGCGATAATTCCCAAAATTGTTCATTCTTTTGCTGAAACACTGGAAAACAGCCAGTCTTGACATAAAGTGTGTAGCACCATGTTTCGCTATCTAGAAAGGGTCAGAAAAGTAGGTCGCATGTGTTTGGGAAAGGGGCCTTGATTCAATAAGTGCCCAAAAAGGGAAAGGCATTGTAAGGGTAGGGGTGCTAATAACAGCAAATATGGTATTGTTCCTGTTTCTATCCAATCTTTATTTAGCCAGTTAGAAGATTCCCTTGTAATGAGTTTATTTTACACCACTGGATACTAAATGAGTTCTACGTTTGAATTTTAGAGAATCAGGTAAAGGTCATCGCTTCCTGATCACATCAAACTCCTCCCCAGGATGTGAAACCATTAGGGGGTGGATGGTTGTCGTAGATAAGGGTCGTACCGGCCAGTGTCACTGGGACTACGGGCGCGAAACACCATTCTTCCTGTACTCTCAAAACACGACAAGTACAACCTTGTTGGGTAAGTATTTGATAAGATAAGGTGTACTAACAGAAGTGGAATCAAAGGCTGGTCTCCTGGCCCATGGCCACTGGTTTTCTGGGTGGACCATTAGGTTTTTTCACAAGCTATCCCGCCGGGCGAGTAGATATTTTGTAAATTTATTTAAAATTTCAGCAGATTTAAAAACTTCATTTGAGCCCAGAATGCACCACACAGCTTCTTTCAAACTTTTCTGAGGGCATGCCATGTATCAAGTGCCTCAGGCACTCGCTTGGGCATCCGGCTCTCTTTTTCTGGACCAGTGTACTTTAAACAGAACCAGTGAATCTTTACTTCACCTGGACCTTTGGGCCATTAACCCTTTTGTATAAATTCCACCCCTGTAATAACCTGTGAAGTTCCTGTTTATGATTATAAAGTACTTGCTAAGGAGTACAGTATTTGTACATGTATTTGTCTTGGAGTAAAGTAGCTGCCTAGGGGTAATTACCGGCAAAATTTCGCCCCCTTTAATAATTTCAAATTTGTTGTGACAGCTAGCGTACACAACATATACCATTTATAGTAAATACACAAGAAGGGCAAAATTAATGTTGAGCGAATATGGATTTTACCTGTGAATGGCAAATAATTGATTTGGCAAAAGGTTCCTGGTTTTCAGGAGAACGAGTGTCTCAGATTATAGTCCCTGTTGATAAAACAATTGTGTTGTGCTGTCAAAGAAAAACAAAATATTGTTATCATACAAAAGTACACAGTTGCTATGGAAACAGCCAATGAATTTCCTAGATTTCATTATCTAAATAAATGTTTATATAGATCAAAACTTTTATTTCTGTTGCAGAAATGGTCTCTGCCAGTGTCTTTGTTATTTTTGTGGGTAAGTAAATTATCATTTTTAATTATAAGTTGTAATTTCCAGAAACAAAAATCAGAAACAAAAATGAATGAGATATTTGTGTATTTAGTAACATTTTTATAAAAATCTTTGTCATTTCCGCTTCTCAGGACACACAAACTTGTACAGTTTTGTAGGGATAGAGCCAAAGACTATCAAATTGATGTGTGATGTACACACCGATAGTTACAGTAGACATACGGTAAATCTCCAAAATTTAACTCAATCCGAGGATAAAACCAATGACATATTTTGGCACCTGAATAACTCGGGTGACCTATTTGGATTGTTTTTTTGTTTTTTTGTCCATCATCAGCCGTTAACCATCATATTTTCGGTTTTTGCTTTGAAACCCCTCCAGCAGATTTTAACGAAGTTTGGGGGTAATCATCAGCCTGTTGTAGGATTATCAAACATGTACTGAAAAGTAGTGGCTGACTCCCTCGGGCCGAGATGTGGGGGCGGGGCCATAATGGGTCACAGAGTGCAAAAACATCTCCTCTGAAAGTCGCTGTTGGATCAAGACCAAATTGTTTTGAAATCATTCTTTGCTCACTAAGCCCTTTATATAGGGACACAAGTTTCAGGTGAATGTTGAGGCCCATGGTCCTCTTGTTTGGATAAACAGTAGATTCAGCAACGTTGAGGGGTTGTGAAATTTTCACAATCATTATCTAATTAGGGGATAGTAC